AGGGGATGTCCGGATAGCCGAACTATCATCATCGGCCGGACTCCAAGACTATGAAGATACAAGATTGAAGACTTCGTCTCGTGTCCGGATGGGATTTTCCTTGGCGTGGAAGGCAAGCTTGGCAATACGAATATGTAGATCTCCTACCATTGTAACCGACTCTGTGTAACCCTAGCCCTCTCCGGTGTCTATATAAACCGGAGGGTTTTAGTCCATAGGACGAACAACAATTATACCATAGGCTAGCTTCTAGGGTTTAGCCTCCTTGATCTCGTGGTAGATCTACTCTTGTACTACTCATATCATCAATATTAATCAAGCAGGACGTAGGGTTTTACCTCCATCGAGAGGGCCCGAACCTGGGTAAAACATCGTGTCACTTGTCTCCTGTTACCATCCGCCTAGACGCACAGTTCGGGACCCCCTACCCGAGATCCGCCGGTTTTGACACCGACGGTGAGATTTTATGAATGTATGTGGGCCATGACTATGAGCACTGTAGCTAAATAGTTATACTATTTTAGTATTTTTTGCAAAAAGAGGGGGGGAGGAGAACTGCGCCAAATTATGTGAAGCAAAAGCAAAAGCAAAACGGCCACTAATTACCAGTGGCTTGATGATCAGTAGCAGGAGCTTTGCCACCGTGCTGCTGCTGTGCTGCAGAAGCAGCGCCATGGCCTCCTCGATCAACCACATATGCTGGCACTATTGGATATAAAAACTAACCAGTACAGGGAGAAGCCCTACTGATTTTTAATAAAGAAAGAGATGTGAGACCCATGTAAGAACCGAGGTTTGAACCCGCGCCGGCTAGGAGGCAGCACGGCACTATTGGTTATCAGGCACCACCTGTTGTTGCTGGGTAAGAATTGTAGGTAATTTTCTCATAGATAAATAACGGAATAGATAAATCCCGAACGTTCAGAATTTACCCATGTCATCCCGAACATTTTTTTGATGGCAACTTTAGTTGCTGCGAGATGGCAACTTCAGTTGTTAACACATGGCAACTTTGTTCCAGTTTGATTTTTTGTCAGAAAATTGTTATGTTTGTCAACATCGCCTTAACTAAAGTTGCCACGAAAAGAGTTTGGATTATCATGCTTTAAAATTGAACGTTCGGGACTTATTGAGGTCCATAAATAATCATTTAAAAGAACTGAGCTGGAGAATTCAATAGTATGTAGTGCATCTTGGTTCGTCGTACTTGAACAATGATGAATTGTAGTGCATCTTGGTTCGTCGTACTTGAACAATGATGAATTGTTGTGCGAGGTGTAGTTAGTCACGGGCATTGATCTGTTTCAAGCATGGAGCAAAAGGCTCGGTTTTTTGGCATAAGTGTGAACGATTTCTATCATAAGCAAAAGCACTACCACACACACACACGCACAACAAATAAGTGAGATCCATGGTCCCAATGCAAAGTTGTTGAGCTATCGATGGTATACCATTCAACATGAGGTCAGCAAGCGCGTAACGACCCATATTCTATCATTGATACTACTTGTGTATTTATTTTCAGATTTTCTTGAAACTTAAGATACTGCATAGGGATGAACATGAGGCTTCTTTTATAGTTTTATATGAACTTATTTTCGCATGGTTTAGATCAGCAAAAACTAAATGTTCATGGGAAATTAGTTACCTGGCACTACAAAGCACCACTTCCTGTAAACTATAGCTCAAAATCCATACTTGACAACACATCGCTATATGATGCTGTCACTAAGAATTTTACCATGAGGGTCAAGCATTAGCACTTTGAAAGTAAATTTTCCAGAAACTGTTTATGTGTCCCTCCTTTTCCGCGCCTCCACATCCTTGCCCTGCCAATCACACAAACGCAGAAGCCGAAACGGCGCCATCAAAACCAGAAATGTACATGGGAGAAGGATATTCTGATTAAATGGAGTAAAAATAAGAACAGGATCCAAGGAAAACAAGCTAAAGCTTAACACCGAACGCCCCTGCTTGGCCATACCAACAACTGAGTCAAGTAAGACAGATTTCTATAGAGCTTATCGCGACCAGCACTGCATCTGCAGGCCCAATCCTGTCTGTCACCACATTCGTAACCAGGTCAGGAACTGCACCACAAAATAAGGTGGCACGTGCACTAAACCTGGAAGCCAAGAAGACCAGATTTATCTTAAGAAGGTTTTTGATAAATGTTACTCCCTCCGTCCCAAAATATAAGAACGTTTTTGATACTAGTGTAGTGTCAAAAATGTTCTTATATTATGGGACGGAGGGAGTAGGAAAGTATCTTAGGCTTCCTTGTTCGTTGAATTTTAGTTTGTCCTCAAAGGTACGTGGCCACCCTAAGCCTATAGAGAAAAGGGGGCCTATATTAGGACATTATCAATCAATAAACAACAAATTGCCCCAAGCTGAGAACTAAAAGCCTCTAGCAAGTGGCAACAGCCGGGGAGGAGCCCCGACATGCGCCTGAGGGCAGGCCCTGTTATCCCATTCAATCTGATCGCAACCCCCATTGCTATATCTAAGCCTACCAACAAGCACACGACACAGACATGTAGCACCATGGATGTTTTCGACAATCATGATATATTGAAGTGCCAACTGACAAGAGATGGCATGAACACAGCAGAACATGCTGTTAACATGTGCACGAAGCTATAGATCTTTGAGTCACTCAGGGGTGAAAACAGATCAAATTGGTTCTACCACATTCATGTCCGTATTTGTTCACTAAACACTGATGCGGTTACACATACAGGTCAGACAAAGAATTCAAAGGAATACCTATGTGATTCAGTCGAATTCAGACATCCCTGTAATGTATGCAATCAGTCAAGGCAATAGGATGCACTTAATCAGTCGAGGAAACAGAAATGGTCCCTAAATCAAGAAAAAGATCCTAACTGATTTGACATCTGAAATAAAGCAGATAATACAACTCAAAAGGGAAAAACTAAACCGAATTCGCACCCATTTTTTCTTGTCACTCGCAAATACAATTTTGGACAGCAAAACTACCATTCAACAGAAATACCCAAACCAAATTCTAATCTGATCAAATTTGCATGTAATATAATTCGAATAACCCATGTTCAATTACCAACTCGAACGCCCGTTGATGGTGCACAACCACCACCTTCCTTCGTAGTTAGCTAGTATATGTTGATAATGAAGGGAGAATACTAGAGAAAAGAAAACACTTACGGCAGAATATGCGGCAATGTTTTGCTAAGTGTAGACATTTGGATGTGTTCACATCAGGTAGTATCTTTGCAGTGATATAGAGAAAATAATTACATATTAGAAGGGAGTATCTGGGTAACGTATGACTCACCTATTCATGTGTCTTCTTTGCAAGGGAGCGAAGGAACATGATGAGTGGTTTCTTCGCCCTGGAAAGCTTTTTATCAGATCCCTCTCCGCTATCTTTATTTCCCATGCTTTTTTGGACCTCTTGGACTATCCTCACAAGTTTCCGTAGTTCCTGTTGGTAAAATGTCCGTGAAGCTGAGTGATCCAAACATTGAATCATAACAGATGCACTTGAATTTCTTTAACCAGTATATTTTGGGTGGCGAATACCCATCGTAGATGCATAAACTGCTAGGACTACTATAACTGACAGCCTGACATGTTGAACATAGTTTATGTTTAGGAATAAGGACTAGGAGAAGGGGGGGGGATACAATCATATTAGCAGTTACGATGGTGTTGGTTAGAGTTATGATTAGATATACTTTGGGTCTGACCTCATCTACATAAAGAGAGGAGCTGCACCTGTTTTCCTTGAACAATGGAGAGAATGAGAGAACTAATCCACTATCACTGGTGTCATCCCCCTCAAATCGTTGCCTCAATGGCCTGAAGCACTGCTGTGCCATCAGGGAGGCATCCCTGTCATCGCCACCATTGCCGCATGGAGTGCTGCTGCTAACGTGGAAGGTCTCACTGCCACCACCGCAGAAAGCCTCACACCGACCAATGTGTGGGGTGCTGCCATCACTGCAGACCTCTTGCTACTTGATGCAGCACTACTGCTAAGGCTGAATGCAGTGCTGTTGATGCAGTTAAGATGGTGTTGGTTAGTTCTGATAGTATGGAGTTATCTTCGCCAATATCTGCAGCACTAATGCTAAGGCTGGATGTGGTGCTATTGATGCAGTTTCTTGGTGCACCACCATTGCTACTTGATGCAGTGTTCTCACCTTCCCATGCTGTTCAGCTGCAGCCATGGGAAGCATCGCCACAGCTTCCTGGTTTGCCGTTGGTGTTGCTGTTGAAGGCTTTGCCACCCTAACCAGAGAAGGCATCACTGTAGCCGTTCTCATGGGTAACTGCCGCCAAGATGCTGGTTGCTTGGATGGGAAACTTTGGATAAGAAGAGACTATGAGTATGCTTGGTTTTAGCCCAAGATTGCTCTACCAAATATTTGGCAAGCCGAAATTCTGGTCAAACTTTTGCTAGCCCATGAGTTGGCCAGCATTGGCAAGAAAAATGAACTAGAATGGACAAAGGGGCATTGGCATGACAAAATATTGGCAACCATCCGCAAACACCAAAACTTTGGCCGAGCAAAAAATTGGTAGGGTGTGCTTCAGCCACCATCCATACGTACCCTACAGGTGCAAGATGAATTTGGCGAAAGATGATAATCTTCATTGCTTAATGATTATGGTAGTGACTCATCACTTTTTATAGAGGTTGGCTTCTACCACTAGAATAAAATCATAACTAATATGAACCTTCCTAATAATAGGATCTTATTCCTAGAGAGACTAACTGTTGGTAGACTCAGCAGATCCAGTTTCCCCAAAAAATCCGCAGTGACCCAGAATCTCACTTCTGATACTTCAGTTATATATCTTCTAAAAAAGGTTTTAGCATTTTATTCAAATTATATTTGGCAAACTAGGCTATACAGAAGGTCCTTGTTATCTCATACTTCGAGTCAACACATGAACTGACATGTTAGTTATGCCATCCAATGAACATTTAAAGTGTGCGCATATAATACCTGACGATCAAATTCAACATTATGAATCGCATAAACTTCGTTGGTAACTGGAATGTCTTGGCAGACGAGGCCCTCAAACCATCTATCTGCAATTTCCATATACTCTTGATTTTCCTCACCCTATTGAAATTCAGAAATTCTTAACCATTAGTTCAGTGTTTACTATGTAAATCCAGTCATATTGAGAATATCAGAGTATTGGCTACCTCTTCTTCGTGAGGTAACTCCCCCACTTCCTCATCTTCAATCGGCATTGACTTGTCTGCCACTTCACTCAATAAGGCTTGTATCCTGCTTTCATCTCCATTCTTCAAAGAATGGATGAGATCTTCCATCAATTCAGGCTGTGCACCACGGAGTAGGCTTCCTGGTAGAAACTGATCACATATTAACATAAAATAAATAGCAAATATATGAAAATTGACTTTCAGAGGTGGTTAATTCTTTACTTATTTTATTTATTCTTTTAGGGAAATATATAAAATAAATACAACCTCCAGAAGCAGCTATTATTTACTGATAATGTCTTTCTGAATGATCAATGCATTAGTGATTTTGAACTGGTAGTGTTGTTTAGACTGTAGCCAGAGCACCTACCAATTTTTAGCAAAATGGTTGGGTCTCAATTTGGTCGGTAACCAATTAACATGCCACGTATCAGCAACCTAGGTCTTAACTTAAAAAATTATATCAGGAGCCCATAAATCATCATGATCAAACATTAAAAAAAATCCTAGTGAAGCAGCATGTACACACTTTTGGCCAAGTGTAACAGCACATACAATCTAACTAATTGATCATCCAGCTCACGTAACACAGAAGGGTAGTATGCGGGGACGCTAGCATGCTAGTAGCCAATATTTTGGCGGACGATTTCGTCGCCCGCGCCCCTCGGCTCGCCCGCATATTGGCAAGAACTGCATGGGCAGACACCGGCTGGAACCAAACTGCAGCCAAAACTCATGGACATGGCAATATTGTGGCAAAGCGAGCTTTGGCTCAAAACCAAACACATCCTAAATGCAAAAGACCATTATACAATAAACATCCTTCAAAAAATTGAGGTCATACATATTTCCTTGAAACTAAACGATTTACTCATAAAAACTTAGCATTACTGGCAATACCTCACATCTAAATCCATAATTCAAAACGCTTAAAAGCATCCATACACTGACAGGGCAACATAGGATGCCTTTTAATCCAACCTCTCAAGTTCAAACTACAGTTAATCTTTCCTGCGTGTTTCTGCACTTGTCTAAAAAGGCACTACTGAGTTGACAAAGCACAAGAACATTGGCCCGGAAACAACCACTAGAAAGTAGTGCATTCGGCGAGACTTCTCCCTCCCTCTCTAGTTAGCACTTAGCAGCATCCATATGACTACATTACCTAGCACTTAGCAGTATCTACATGGCTACATTACCAATTTACCAAACTAAAGATTGAATTTTTTTAATTGTTTAAAGGAAAGCATTCCGACATCTAACTGGAAACAGCCAGTCAACCACACTACCACAAGACTGAAGATACTACAAGTTGATGGAATCCCTCAAATCTGGCATTCATTCATTCTAAAATTCGAATAGTACTAGGACCCAAATCCCCGCAGTCCAGGAAATACAAGAGGCGCAAAAATGAACATGCATACCGATGTAATTGTACTGCCTCCTCCTTCCTTCGCGCACATCGGGTCCAAATTTCTGCAGAGACCAACAAACACTCAGAAATGTCACGATTGCGTGATTCACCGCAAGCTCCTCATTACCAGAGCCATGGGTGTACCTTCACGAGCATGAGAGCGTCCACCACCTCGCGCTCCAGCGACGCGGCCCTGAAAAATAAAAAACAGAGTCAATCACCTGAAAATCCTGCCAAGTAAGGGGAAATGGGGGCTGCAAATGGGCACCTGACGATGCGCTTGATCTGGGGAGGGGAGAACTTGGCGAGCTCCATGCCCCACTTCACGGCGCGGCGGGCCTCCCGCTTCTTCTCGTTGCGGCTGCCCCTGAGGGGCGCGCCGTCCGCGTCGTCCGGGTCCTCGCCGTCGGAGGGGAGGGGGGCGAGGGGGCGGAGGGCGCGCGTGTGGGCGCGGAGGGGCGACGAGGGGGGCGCGACGGAGGAGAGGAGGCGGGCGGGCCGGAGGAAGAGGAGGAGCGGGCGGCGCAGCGGCACGGCGGCTGCGGCGGCGGCGGCGTGCGCCATGGCGTGCGGTTGGAGCTGCTGCTGGCGTAGTGCATCTCGCGGATAGGGTTTAAACCTCTTCTTCTGCTGGGGTTTCTGGAAACCGGGGATTTTGGTGAAATTTGGGCAAATTTTTGAAGATTGTCGTGTTGCGCTACCAACTTGAGGAAAAGTTGGGGTTCTTTTTTCGCACTTTGGGCCTGTTCGGTCCTCCTCCGCTCCACACTCTCGCTCCGGGAGTTGGCGGAGCGCAAATCAAAAATTCCGGAGCGGGGGAATAGGTGCTCTGCAGATTCTTAAATTTGGCAGAGCTGGTGGATCACCGAACAGCTCCTTTGTCACGGAATACACGACGGTTCCTCTATAATTTTAGTTATCTTAAATCTGCTTTATGGGCGTCGATGTTGTATTGGCACCCAAAATGTTCATAAACTAGTTGATTCGTACAGACATGATAATCACCATCTTAATTATTGAATAAGAAGTAACTTGAGAGGTTAGCGGTTAGCGGTTAGTTGATTCGGAGAATAGCCAAGCGGTTAGCGGTTCTTAAAGTTTTTTTCTTTGGTGGTTTAAGTGTGTGAAGAAAGAATAGTTACTTTTGAGAAATGACAATTCATCTTGTCGCCTCTGCCATCTTGGTTTCACACAATTATAGCAATAATGCTACACTTATGGGCATTTGGTTACGGACTGCAGTTTACGGATAGATCTGGCATCATTTGGTTAGACCGATGAAAATCATGGTGGGGGGCGCAGAGAAAAGTCAGGGAACAGCAGCGCAACACGTCAGCCTGTAGACTTCTCCCGTAGAAATCTTTTCGTAAGTGTGGCATTATTGCAATTATAATGGTGTTAAACAAGAGGGGTATCATGCTTCACAGAGGATTCAATCATCAATCGATATAATGAAATAGTAAAACAATATGAAGGCATACATGAAGACCTGACCCATAAGTCGGGCAACAGGGCGACCACCCCGGATGCTCAGGGAGTCATCAACCCACGTACTATTAAAGTCCAATCTACAGAAATAAATCTATACGACAGGCCAAGAAAGGCATAGAATCAGACAAATATGACCGGTACAACCGCAAGTTTACTTTGGTTTCTAGTCTCTCCCCTAAAACCATCCTACAATCTATTTTAAAACTTTTTTGGTGCTTTATTTAGTTTACTAGTGGGTTAATTTCTATGGGTAAGATGATATTGATTTTTACAAATAAACATTAGTGTTCTTAGCCTACACAGCCAAAAGTCTGAACTGTGAGAAAGGGGCGGACATTATACTCCAACCCCCCCAACCAACCACCCCTCGTCTATATTTCTTTATAGTTATGACATGAGCAGCGGAAATGGGGGAAGGCTGCAATTGTTTATTGTGTTTGCTGAGTTTTGAACCCTGAACCTCTTTGCAGTATGGCACAAGAGGCATATACGTGGACACAGATGGACAACAACAAATTTTGGATAAATTGTGAAAGGTAGGACTTGAACTCAAGCCAATAGACTCTGATGTCATGCACTAGCCAATGAAACCAAAGGTCGATGGAAAGGTTTAGGCAATCTGCATACACATTTCAACCTTCATCTCACGTGTGACGCGGGAAGTCAACACGTGAATGGACTCAGAAGTATGCCCCAAGAGGCCTATATGTGGACTCGGAGGGGAAACATTACTTTTAGATAATTTATGAAAGTCAGGACTTGAACTCAAGACCTTAGAGTCTGATATCATATTAAGCTAGCGAACGCATTGTATTACCATATTAAGCGTGCACTAGTGAACACATTGTATTACCATATTAAGCGTGCACTGGCGAACACATTGTATATGGTCTAATGTCATTTCAATATCAAGTTCAACGCAAAAATAACTTTTCCAACAAATTACTGAAGTGACAAGAACATGTATATACTGTGGTCTACTTGAGTGTACATAATTATACACTAGAAACCATTATCAAGATATTTGTAGAACTCGTATGCTTTACACATATGGGCCAATATATTTAAGAATATTAAAAGGTACACATACGCACACATATATACTATAATTGATGTAAATGCCATGTGAAATCCATGAAGCTATGAACTTGTGTTTTTTTACATGTCTAACGACAAATAGCTTATTTTACAACATATTATTTTAATTTGGCATGGTGTGTGTATTTTTCAATGACAAACATTAGAAATGTATATCAAAGAACAATATAAGAAACACTGATATTATATATATATATATATATATATATATATATATATGTATATATGTATATATATGTGATTTAACAGAAATACATAATAGTCAAGTTTGTAATTTTAAGTAAATAGATTATAAGCAAATATGAAAGTTTGGTACAAATACCCTAAAGTTGATGGCACTGCATTCTCTTCGTGCAGGATGGGAACGGTAACACGCTGCACTACATAATGCTCTACGTTGTCTCCTCCTACATTGTGTAGGCATATGATTTTTTGTCTCCCCACAAACCCTCTTGATAGTGTTCTACTTCTACATGCAACTGCTTATTCCCGAACCCTCCTCCAAGTCCACACCTATTCCTATGGGGGCAGAAGATAGGACGCAGCGATTCGGTGCTCGGGCTCAGCTGCTCCCGAAATCGCTAGCGTTCGTTCCAGTCTCGGGATTTTAAGAAATCAGTCTGACGCGTCTGAACAGAAGCAACGAAAAAAGAGGATACAACGCGTATATGGTATGGAACAGTGTGTGTTTCATGGGCCCAGGGTGTAAGAAGGGACGCCACGGCGCACCGCGCGCGTGGTCTTCCTGGTCCGTCGACCAGAACGTCGCCCTTTTTGGCTGACCATGTAACAGATTTTTAGTATAGGCCACTCCCCATCTCACCTATGGAGGCATGTGCTTGCACAGGCGTGTCGGCGATGGAAGATGTCGTGCTAGAGTCCCTGGTAGATGCCGTCAACCGGTGAGTGCACCCTTCCTCGCTGGAGATGTAACGATTTCCGACATTTTTGCTCCTAGGACACATCCGAAAGCTGACACCGCGTCCACCACCGCCTATGGACGTGACTTGTAGGTTTCAACCACGGGACGAGTTCGTTGACAGCCGGGTACATCTAGATCCTGTCCCTCTTGAGTTGCTACTGCCGCGTGATGCCAATCATGTTGCACTGGCGAACTCAAATGTTGGATCTGGGTGAGGGCAACAAGTTAGTGGCGCAAGCCCGGTGAGGCCGCAGTGCGACATGCCCCGTCGACGGGAGCCTTCTTCGATACGGTCTATGCAACCAACTAGCAGGTCAAACCCCGAGGCACTGGGTTGGACAAAGAGGTATGCACTGAATTCTATTCCGGTTAACTGTACTTGATGAAACTAGATGATTCCCCGCGCGTTGCGGCGGGAACATCTGCATATAAATTGTTGCAGACTTTTTTTACTATGGAATATTGATTCTTTGAAGTTTGCAATTTAGTATTGCAAAAAGATTTAAGGATTTCATAAAAAAAGAGTAAACAAAAGAAAAAAGAGGAAGATCTAATTTGCCACTTAACTGATATACACAACTCGAGGTTTTTTTTTTTAGGGGCACAACTCGAGGAATTTCAGCTTCAATTTAATTTCTGATTCGACTAATATCCACAAAGATAAATATTGCATTCACCCAAATGATACATTGAATACTAAATTATCCCCCGAAGAGCCATTGTAAGATCATCACAGCATTAGTCACTGGACAAAAATTGCAAAAGGTAAGTGAGAACAAAAAATAAAGAGCTTCTATGGTGAGTGGTGATTAGAACTGATAAAAATTCAAGAGATTTGTAGCAAGCCTCTAAAATCTGAAAAACATGTTCATATTTGATCTGTTGCCTCTCTTTTTTCCCGGATGATTTGTTGCATCTGAAATCTGAATAAACATGTTCCAATTTGGTAACAAAGGCTGCGGTTGAAACTCTAAAGAAGCAATAAAGCAGTGCATGCAGCTACTACACATAGAAGGAAACATGTGAGCAAGTAGGGGATATACCGTGAAATAAATAAATACAAGATGAAGTTAGTCTTATGTTTATACGTGGACTTATCAATGGCTGAAACATGCTGTCCGGGAACAGCAACACTACCATCCTTTCTGAACGTACGCAAGAATAGGCCTACAATTAAACCTCAGTCACCAATTCACAATGCATCCCAAGCAAACAACTCGGCAAGCAAAAAAAATCATATGTTTGTGTGCATAACTAAGCACAAGTACCACATCAAAATAATAGGCAAGGAGAATAGCTTACAACCACGCCCGTCGACCATAGTGATGTAGATAACTGAATAAGAATGACAGAGGCAAGCAGAACTGTAATTCTGTAAAGATCCTCTCTTTTTCCTCTCCACCATACGCCACGCTGTTCGTCTCGTGAAGCTCCACACCAGAGCAAAGGGAGGAGGGGTACACTGTGGGGTTGGTGCCGAGGGTAGCGCCGGACCGATGAAGCCGATGCAGACGATCAACTATGGTTGGTCGGGCGAAGCCAATGAGGGGCACCGGGGAGGCGCTGCGGGCATGTGGCGGCGCCATCCAGGCGCGGCGTCGTGGCTGGGCGAAGTTGTAGCGAGGCAGTAGTGAGGTGCAGCAGACGTGCAGCGGCGCCGTCCAGGCTTGTCGTCATGGCCGTGCGAAGTGTCAGAATACAAAGTGTATAGGGATAGGAAAGTGGTTTAAACTTGTATCCCTATCTATCTCTTCTTCTCTCCCGTATCTCCCTGTAACCTCTCGAGAGGATCATGATCGATCTCTCTCACAACTTCTACGTCAAGGCTTCGATTATATAAATATATTACGGCCCGAGACAAAGGGTGCTACGCTTCCTCATATGGTCATCAGAGCCCTTCCTCTCGTACGTCTAGCCCTCGAGAAGGAATCCATCTAGTTGATCAAAGAAGAGAGGAACCGAGATCGAGAAGAGAGGCAACCATGTCAGGAACCACGCCGTCCACCGCTGCTGCCACCATGCCCGCATCCACCATGAGCGCTCCGTCCACTTT